TTCAATCCCCAGTCAATCCACAGACTGTAAAATTTTAATTTCAGCAAAACGGATTCAATTTGGTCCTGTTGAGTTTCCACATCTGGAATTAATAGCATTGTTAAGCCTACACTAGCAGAAAGAACTTGTTGTACATCAGTGGTAGAAAAGTTTCTTCCACCTGGGGATGTATGTCAGTGGTAGAGCGCATGCTTTGCATGTTTGAGGTCCTGGATTCAATCCCCAGCATCTCCACAGACTGTAAAATTTAAATTTCAGCAAAGCAAAACTGTATCAATTTGGTCCTGTAGCGTTACCACATCTGGAATTAATAGCGTTTGTAAACCTTCAGTAGCAGAAAGAACTTGTTGTTCATCAGTGGTAGAAAAGATCTTTCCAACTGGGGATTTAGCTCAGTGGTAGAGCACATGCTTCGCATGCATGAGGTCCTGGGTTCAATCCCCAGCATCTCCATAGACTGTTTAAATTTAATCTCAGCAAAACTGTATCAATTTGCTCCTGTAGCATTACCACATCTGGAATTAATGGCATTTGGAAACCTACAGTAGGAGAAAAAAATTGTTGTACCTCAGTGTGAGAAAATGCACCTTTCGTCTGGGGATGTAGCTCAGTGGTAGAGGGCATGCTTTGCATGTATGAGGTCTTGGGTTCAATCCCCAGCATCTCCACAGACTGTAAAATTTTAATTTAAGGAAAACGGATTTAATTTGGTCTTGTAGCGTTACCACATCTGAAATTAATAGCATTGGTAAGCCTACAGTAGCAGAAAGAACTTGTTGTACGTCAGTGGTAGAAAACGTGCTTCTCGACCGGGGATGTAGCTCAGTGGTAGAGCGCAGGCTTTGCATGTAAGAAGTCCTGGGTTTAATCCCCAGCATATCCACAGAATGTAAAATTTTAATTTCAGCTAAACGGATTTAATTTGGTCTTGTAGCGTTACCACATCTGGAATTAATAGTGTTGGTAAACCTACAGTATCAGAAAAAACTTGTTGTACCTCAGTGGTAGAACATGCGCCTTTCAACTGGGGATGTAGCTCAGTGGTAGAGCGCATGCTTTGCATTTATGAGGTTCTGGGTTCAATCCCCAGCATCTCTACAGACTGTTTAAATTTAATTTAAGCAAAACTGTATCAATTTGGTCCTGTAGCGTTACCACATCTGGAATTAATGGCATTTGTAAACCTACAGTAGCAGAAAAAACTTGTTGTACCTCAGTGGTAGAAAATTTGCCTTTCAACAGGAGATGTAGCTCAGTGGTAGAGCGCTTGCTTTGCATATATGAGGTCTTGGGTTCAATCCAGAGTCTGTAAAATTTTTATTTCAGCAAAGCGGATTCAATTTGGTCCTGTTGAGTTTCCACGTCTGGAATTAATATCATTGGTACACCTACAGTGGTAGAAAAGGTCCTTCCATCTGTGGATGTAGCTCAGTGGTAGAGCGCATGCTTTGCATGTATGTGGTCCTGGTTTCAATCACCAGCATCTCCACAGGCTGTTCAAATTTAATTTCAGCAAAACAGTTTCAATTTGTTCCTGTAGCGTTACCACATCTGGATTTAATAGCATTTAAAAACCTACAGAAGCAGAAAGAACTTGTTGTACCCCAGTGGTGGAAAAGATCCTTCCAACTCGGGATGTAGCTCAGTGGTAGAGCGCATGGTTTGCATGTATGAGGTCCTGGGTTCAATCCCCAGCATCTCCACAGACTGTTAAAATTTAATTTCAGCAAAACGGTTTCAATTTGGTCCTGTAGCGTTACCACATCTGGAATTAATAGCGTTTGTAAACCTTCAGTAGTAGAAAAACTTGTTGTTCATCAGTGTTAGAAAAGGTTTTTCCATCTGGGGATGTAGCACAGTGGCAAAACGCATGCTTTGCATGTATGAGGTCTTGGGTTCAATCCACAGACTGTAAAATTTAAATTTCAGCAAAACGGATTCAATTTGGTCCTGTTGAGTTTCCACATCTGGAAATAATAGCATTGGTAAACCTACAGTTTAGAAAGAACTTGTCGGACAGTGGTTGAAAAGGTCCTTCCACCTGGGGATATAGCTCAGTGGTAGAGCGCATGCTTTGCATGTATGAGGTCCTGGG